AAAAAACCCCTGGGATCTGCTCCGGCTATCGTGCTTGTATTTTCCCGCTTTTCGCTCTCACTCGCAAGACTACTCTTGCGGTACAATACACGCCTTGACCTGTCCGAACTACCACATGCAACAAAGTAACAGAATACCGCCCTGCCCTTCAGCAGCCATTCATGATGTGAAGGATAAATCGACTGTTTTCGTACTCCCACTTCACATGATTTACTTTTCCATCGACGCCAAAATATTACACTTCAGCCACCCACGTGGGCGGACCGCTGCTCCTGCCAGAGTGGGTCCTCGTCAGGTCTTCAAAAACCGAACCGAGCAATCAAGCAAGCAAACTCCTCGGAAATAAAAAGATGCTAGAGTGTTTTGTGTCGTTACACCAATGGTGCGGTGCTCTCTGCGGTAGAGCTCCGCGGCGGTGACGGATTGTTCTTGTTGTGCTTGCAGCAGTTACAGTGTACTGCTTGTCTTCCCCGCTTGTCAAACTTGTCCACCAGTGGAGGGATTCTCCAGCTCATAGCAATGTCCAGCTCGATCAAACGCAGGCAGAAGGCGATCACTGCTGATGCCAAAAATGATACCCTACCCAGGGAAGTCAGCAAGAACAGTTGGTGGAAAAATTAGAGACCGGCTGTTTTGCTCACAGATTGACAATCATGAATGCAAACATGGCTTTGACCAGCTCGCAATCAGTTTGGAAGTATCCTTTTGAAGGCTTGGCGTCAAAGTACTTGGTTTTGAAGTGGCGGCATGAATCCGTGGCATCACCATCCCAAAGACCAATCAAAGTTGCCCAGGCGGCTATAAAGAGGATATCGAAGACCAATGAAAGCGAGAAGAACAAGGCCCCTCCGAAGAACATGGGTAAGATTGTGACGCCCGAATAGACGGTACAGATAGAGGCTATTACCACTGTCGCTGTCGCTTTCCGCGGTACGTCGGCATCTGCATTTGATAGACCATTCATGACGGCGGCGACGAAGCCTATGATGATGATCGACCAAACGCCTTCCAGGACACGCAGTCCGATTTCGGCAATTCGAAGGAAGGTCTCATCGATGGCCCTTACCAAGTCGAGTTCCCTTGTTCTGAACCTCATTGTCGGTGTTTCGCGGAGTGTTTTGTTGGCAAAATTGTATATCAATTCGAGTCGAATTGGTTGTTGATAGTCTCGCTCCCTACCAACCTATGGCCAACGAGTTTATATCAGGGTCGAAAAATCCATCAGTTGCTTCGTGATTTAGCCCTCATCGAAACACGTGGTGGTCCTGCTCTGGGATGCGAAAGCGCCGGCAAGATCCGTACAATTCTGTCCTCGTGGTGTTGTGGTGTTGGACATGGCGTGAGGCGCAAATCAGGTGAGTATGTCAACATACCAAGCGAAATCCAGGACAATTCACTCATGAAAGCCAATATGACCCTGCAAGCACGATTGAGTCATCCCGAGTGCATTGAGCATTGGACCATTGGACCATTGGAATCTACTAGTTAGTAGCTACCACGATAATAGTCCTGGACACCAAAGTAGTCTGTGTCCTGAAACTCTGTGAGATGACGTGGTACAGGAAACACATTAGTTTCGCGGATCAAGATGTCCGAGTTAGCTGCGTCTCCGAGGGAGACAAATAGGGCGGGCCTCCCTCTTGCAGCACGAAGAGTTTTCCTTCAAGACCCAGTGTTGGTTTATTATCATTAGTGTCCGCTGGTCAAAGTCAAGATTGGGATTTTATTTCCTGCACTGAAGGTACTCTGCAGTGTATGCCGAGCTCGGTGAAGGTCATTCAAGCACATGGACAAACCTTGCCGTGCCAATTTTGCGTCGTGGCCAGATCCCCGGTGCAAGAGCAGATGTCGATATACGAGGAGTGTCCGCTGGGCCGATTTACAATGTCCCACGATGGGGTTCGAGTAGTGCTCGAAGTCGTAACGTCTTGTTTTCTCGAAAGAATTGAGAGAGAATTGGCAAATTGCCGGATTGGGAAATTTCCTGGTGCTGCAAATATGTAATGTGCCTCATACACAAGTAGTTGGGGGCGCTGTTGGGGAGCTGTCCAGGCTTTTCAGGCCTAGAAGTGGCGCCTAGCACGGAGTAGCCTTAGGGGTGTCCATGGCTGAAGCCTCCTAGCTTCCCGGTCCCCGAGCCCCGAGAAAGGCCCTACTTGTACTTGGTAGAACGTCGAGCGCCCCCTTTCCGCACTTCGGCGGCCCCAGGAGGAAACCCGGAGCAGAACCCTGTCAGTGCCAAGAACCCATAACCACAGAGACCCACCACGGAGCCTTCTCTCCCTTTGTGTCTTGGTCACTCAGCTGACCCGCAAAACACCCTCTCCCTCTTCTCTCCTTCGCTTCCTCTCCTCGCCAATAGCACCCACGTGTTCTCCTCGGAGACTACCGTATTCTGTTTCCCGTTCTTGTCCATGGGTGCGTGGTGGTCTGATAGCTGTTTTTGATTCCCGGAACCTTGTTCGGCATGGAAAGAGCTTAGCGAAGCGGATTGCGACAGAATTTCGTGGCTACTTCGGACTGCCTTTGTCATGCCTTGTCACGACCTATACTGTGAGATCATTCTAATAAGCATGGCCTTTCCACCATGAAGAGACAATTGTGCCACCATGTCTACAAATCAACCCACTGTTCAAGGATCTCTTTCTACTCATCACACATTCAATCTACCGGCACTCAAGGTTTGACCTACCATGTCCTTCGCACAAACCTTTCCCCAGTATCAAAGACCGTCCTACGCGGATCAAGTACGTCGAACTTTCTACGTCTGTCATTTGCCACACTCACTAAAGTGTACATAGCAACCATGCTGGACTGGTGTTGACTTCGCCACAAACAACAACTCCTTCGGGAGCTATCCTCAGTATTCCAAAGATCAGGCTTACTATGATCCTGACCTTGTGCCTTCATGCGAGCAGACTGCTCCGTCGCCCAACTATTCGCAGTATTTGAACTTCGATGCTACCGAACCGGACTCGGGCTTGGCGGGAACAGGCGATGCCATCTCCTCTCAGCCATTCTTCAGCACCCCATCTGTCCCAGCAGACAATGCTCGACAGTTTGCCGACTTCCCAATCAAGACCGAGCCCGGTTTTGAACAGAACGACCCGTCCTTCTCATGTGGCCTGAACCTAATGCAGGATGACAGCACCTCTCCGCGGACCTGCGGAGCAGTACCCGCATGCTTGCAGCTTCTCGAAAAACCCGAAATGGAAGACTTCAGCTTGTCAGGATCCACTCTTTCGCCACAGCTTTCCAATACGGATGAGAAGCCCGTCAGAAGACCATCGCACGCCGGTTCAGGGTATGCCAGGCAATTGAGAAGGGGCAGTGACAGCAGCCTACTGAAGACTCGAGGCAGACGGGCACGCAAGGGTTCCTCGAGCGACGAAGAAGCGGCACAGGCTCGGGCAAAGCAAGCCCATTCAATTGTCGAACGAAGATACCGCGACAACCTCAATGGGAAAATCATGCAGTTGCACCGGACTCTCAGTTCCATTGGATCGCCCACGCGCATGGCTGGCTTGTCCACCGATGAAGCCCCTAATGCGCATGACCAGCGCACGAGGGTGCGGAAGTCGGACGTTATGACCGACGCAGTCAACTATGTGCACCAAAGTGAGGTGTCAATGCGGCATATGACGGACGAAATCAAGCGGCTGACTGACAGAGTTCGGACACTGGAGAAACTCGTCAAATGTGAAGATTGTGCCTTGCTCAAACAGATGGTCCGACTGCAGCTCCAGTCGCAACAGAACCAGCAGGCACAACAGGCACAGATGTCGATGCAGCAACAATAACAGTCGTCAAATCAACTCTGACACTGCTATTCAGAGATTGTATAACCAGCCGAAATGTTTTGACCCTTCAACATCAAACGGAACCCAGGCCACCACTCAGTGACGGAAAATTGCATCACGACTCACTGATTGCTCGCAATGCCAACTTATCTTTCTTTACCTGATGATACCCTACGCATATGAACTATTGGTCGGCTTCTTCTGTCTCGGGGATCTCTCACTTACGGAACTAATGCAGTTACACTACTGGTGTGACTTATCCCGAAAAAGAGAATCCCCTTCTCTCCCCCTCAAAAAAATGCAAGCAAAAAGTTGTAACAAGAAGAGCATAGAGCCTCGGGAAAGTGGATTCCATGCATGGGCTAAGATGACGCCCCTCCTAACGAGCGAGATAGGGGGCAGAATGTACTCCTCATATATTTGGAAGAGGCATAAGAGGAAGAGCGAAGAGCGAAGAGCGAAGAGCGAAGAGCGAAGAACGAAGAACGAAGAACCCAAAAAAAAACCATTCAATTGGGAGGCGCCCAGATGATGGAATATGGAAACCAAGAGGTTTTCTCACCATCAATATTATTACTATTGCTATTGGTGTTTTGTTTTCTGTGAAGGAATTTGTTATGATACCCACCCAACACTACAAAGTGTATGAGGATATTGTTACGACTGCTATCTTCTTTCTTTTATGCATCTCCTTTAGGAGGACTGCTCTGGCGGGATGGGAAGGGGGGATTATATATAGACTCGCCTTTACTGGGCTTGAGTCACTCACTAATGGAGGCGGGATTCTACAAGTGTGCATATGTCTGTGGGGACAGCGACATTTTCTGTGGGCAGGCGTTGTTGGACAGCAAAACAGACCGCGAAGCTCCGCGCAGAGCAGGGGATAGGATGTTCATCTCATCTTCTTCTCATTTCGGGCTAATATAGTAATTAGTGGCATAACATGTTATGCACATCTGATGGCCCCTGAACTCCATGTTTCCCTCCGGTCCTGGTTTCTGATACAATCTCGTCCCTTGCTGCCCTGGTGAATTCGACTAGGGCGATGAGATGCATGATATATGCACGAATCAATCAACTTTCAGCCGCAAAATGATCCAGAGCAACCACCTGTCAAAGTCCCTTTTTTTTTCGCTTCTTCTTCTCAGATCTCACGCCCCGTAGTATTCCATCGCTTGACGCATCGTACGGAGTCAAAATTCAGGGATGCTCTCTGTGCTCCTTCAGTTCCTCTAACCACTTATCCTTCAGAGCCGAAGCTGCACCAATGGCCTCTGCAAACAGTTGGGTAACATGATCGCGTTCCTCTCCCAGTAGCTCTTTCCCTACGTGGTATGCTTCATTGGCCTGCTCAAGCAGGCGATTTCGATCATGAGGAGGCTCTTCGTAGGACCAGCGTTCATATCCAACGAAGTCGTTGTCATCACTATGGTGGTGGTGGTGGTGATGTGGTCCACCGTGGCGACGATGACGAGGGGGTTCATGGTGGTGTATTACCGAATGAATAGGATGCCCCTTGTCATTGTATTCCTCTACCTTTTTGGAGAGGTGGTAGAAGGCACCAACCGCCACAGCAGCGCCGATTGCTGCCTTGAGATAGTGATCCGACACATCGTGCTTGTCTTCGTCGTGAAAAGCCTTACCTAGTTCATGCGCGGCGTAAACAGATGCCGCCGCCCCAACGGCTGTCTCTGCGTGCGCGGAAAAGGTGTGAAGTTCTGGACTCGCCATGTGCTGAGTGGGATATAATGTTTGCTTCCCCAAGGATGGTGATAGCAATAGCAATTAGCAGTAGCAGGAATAGGTTTGGATTCTTTACTCGCTAAGGATCGGTCCGCCATGGAGCTCCACGTCCTCCAACAGCAACTTACTTATCTCCACCTCCCCTTTCCAGGCTCTTCCATGGCTAGTTTCCGTATAGCCTTGTTAGGGAATGCCAAATACGGGACACGGGTCTGATGATGTAGTCCAGAAAGGGATCGCGCCCGACTTCGGGCTACAATTGTGGGTTCAGGCCCGTTCCCCCGGCTCCTGCCATCGGTACCACGCGATCACCGCTGTCCATTAGGACTGTTCTTGCGGACTTGGAGATGGGAATCATCAACCTACCAAAGGAATGGCATGGGATGAGAATAGGATGATAAAGGGAGAACACGGTATCAGGACATCTGGCCACCACCAACCGCACCTCATCGGCGTCATTCCATGCGACAGATGGCGTGATCTCGCTACTATGTGCACCAGAACCTTCCCCTATTTGCTGGTAAGATGCTGGTGGAGGGGCGCTATAGCGAGCTCGACGACATCCCCTTGCTCTTCCTTGCCCGCCATTGTTTCTTTGAGCCCCATCACTATCGTATTAACTGATGTCTTGCAGGATCTAGACATTCGATTTTCAAGCCACAATGCATCTGGCAAGCCCGAGTCTCGGGGCATGTTCAGAGCTGTCCAATCTCATGCAGCTTTCTGGTACCTCCTCATGGGTTTGACCTGACTGATTCGCACACATCGCTGATGTTGTCTTGCGAGCTGTTGCAACTTGCCCCCTCTACCACCTCATTTCAGGCTATCGTGTAGGTTATTTGCATCTGCTGATTCAACGACAGGATCCCCATTCCCGATTAAGCACGCATCCTGCTCGACCCGCAGGTGCAGTTCAGCTGGTTTAGCCACCAAGTATGGCTGCGACCCCTTGCCCGTGGGGCCTCCAACGCCATTGATATAAGCCCGTGGACATCTCGCAAGACTTCCTGGTTCACCGTGTGGCCTTACGTCAAAATGGGTGGTCATCAGAGTCACAGTCCTGCAACATACACTGAATACGTGCAACGGCTCGTTGAAGGAGGCTATCCCAACTTGGCGCCTCTGTTCAGCTTCTTAACTTCCTCGTATCACCAAAATGATGTGTTCGTTCGGTATATTGACATAAGAACGGACGGTGAATCCAATCAAGCACACTCAGTTCCTCGACACAAAGTCCGCAAGCAAATTCATGAACCTGTTCCCGCAGAGGCTCTGGCGCGTGTCTTCATTGTTGAAGATCTTGATCGCAACACCATTGAGGACTTTGGACTCCTGCTCGATGTTGAACCAAAGTTCTTCGCAAACCACATCAGCGATGCATTTCTTGATCCTGGAACAAATACAGGCCGATGCCCGCATCTTCCCTCGGTGTCTCATATCAAGTCATTCTACAGCATCGACTATTTCCACCCTGTCAACCTCGACAAGCGCACGAGCGATCGTTTTTGTTGTTCCTCAAACGTACGCCGTCTCGTTGATACGTTCCATCGTGTCGTCCGTCGTGCGCACCTTATCGACTCGGCTCTAGACCATGTCGCATTCGTCCGTCGGAAATTTTCATTCTACGTACAACCTATTAAGGAAAAGAAATGGAAAGGTAGGTTCTATTGACCAGCCTATGTGTAGTATTTAAGTGAAGTCACTGACACAGCATCATTAGTCTTGGTGCTTACTGATCCGTCTGTTTTGGATTGTCGCCGAACTCACTCCCGACATTGTCGAGCGACGGCACAGCATAGTCACCGACTTGAAATGGAAGCTTCATATTCGGACCCTTATAGTGAGTTTCGCGACACCTGGCCATCGTCCATGGGTGTGGCAACCTTCCACAAAATCATCGATCGTAAAGGAAACATTGGATTTCGCAGCCCACGAGGCCCGCCAGAGCAGTTCAATGTGTGGAGCTTCCAAGGTGGATATGTTGACGTTTTACCACCCGAACGACCGAGTAACCCAGATCATCGGGATGAGAACTTTAGTGTGGCATGGCTAGAGAAGCTCAAAAGCGATGGTCGAAGCCGCCGGAGTAAGAAATCATCTCCAGCTGACGACCTCATCTACTATTGGACGGACGCCGCGGAAAAGAGCAGGGCCGATCGAACACACTACAATATGCCTGCACGGGTCTATGATTCAAGTCGTGAAAATGAGAATGACATAAGCAAGACGCGCAGATTTTTGTTCGATATCTCTCGCCATGCGCTATTCATCGCAGCGAGTGAATGTATGCTGACTCTACAGGCACTGGACGCATCGGTAGACGCACGGATATGGGATCTGAAAAATCTTAATCTCGCAGAATCGGCCTTCAGAGGCAACACTACGAGGTCACTGGAACACTACTTAGATGATGCACTCAAGCTGAAGCATCTCCTGAGAGGACAATATAAACACATCTTGCACGTCCAGGACTTTATTGATTCCGTCAACATGACAGAGCCCGCAAATGAAGTTCTGACCCGGGTGCTTCCCGGCCCCTTCGGGCCACCAGATCACAGCCCCTTGCAGAAAGACTGGAGAAACGACAACACTTCAAGATCCACCAGGAAGGAACGGCAGGTGATTGCGGATTACGGTCTCAGCGAAGATTTTGATCACATCACAAAAATGATTGACAGACATGTCACCATCTGCCAGGAGACTATCGGAGATATACCGAGCCTCATGGCGGTCAGGGACAGCCACTACGCCGGCAGTCTGGCTAAACTGGGAGTCGTATTCCTCCCCATTACGGTTGTCACAGGAATCCTGAGCATCCAAACCGAGTATGGAATGGGCCAGCCATTGTTCTGGGTGTTTTGGGTTGCCTCATTAGCCGTCTTGGCGATCACGATACTTATGACCTGTCTCCCTACCCATCCATGGGATCGATTCTTCGAAGACTCCATGACACATTACCGGTTGGGGTATCGAAGAATGGCGCGTAGATTGCAGAGGCAGCGGGAGCGGTCGGTCGAACAGCAAGCTTGAGCTGGATATGTTTGACGTGTACAAAGTATTCAGTATTGAGATACGAGATATTAAGGCGTGTTAGAGAAAAGAGCCGAGGCCTACAAAGTACCAAAGTACATTTCCTGTGTCGCTGACTAAGGTAGGCTTTGAGCGTCTGGTTCTCCATGACGCGGCAAAATGTGTGGGTATGCCAAATTCGAAACCTCGAAAGGGCCTAGGCTTTCAGCTGCAAGTCATTTCCCATGATGCACCTCGATCATCAAATGGGATGGCGAGACACGGCGAAGGACCTCGAGGAACCCCTCCATCAAGCAGGTGAGACGAAAACAGAGGGGGATTACATTTCTCCCCGCAGGACGGGTTGAGTGATGACAGTGGCTTACAGAGAAAGCGAAAAGTAAGGAGGTGGTATGATAGGTATCGGGGACGTTTTTGTCTAGGCTATCATTATTGGGCCCGTCTATCGCTGTCGGCGGTTTCCGCAGTCCACTTGGGCTGCCATTTCACCTGCTTCTTCGTAGGTACTGCAGCTCCGTAAGTTCGGGGCAAAAACGGAGCAGTGCTGGGCCTGCATCTCCTACTCAGTCAGTCAGCTGATGGAGGCAGACGACACACCCGGCATTCATTTCGATGGCGTAGCGTGACGGTCCACGGAACTGCCAAACATGTCTTGCAACAACTTTTGTGACATGTTAGTTCGAAGATCCTCGACCCCGTGTTCTAGAATTGCCATCCTCACGCCCGTTCCCAAGATATAAGCTGTGTCGTTCCGCGATGGGGTGGCAAGCCTTGCACATACAAACAGACACCAGCACACAAACCAAGAAGTGATAACCAAAAGGACTACTAGACAAGCGGGCTATTAGCTTGTAGTGATCCTGACGAATCTTGACACCACCTCCACGCTCCCCAGAAGATACAAAAAAGGTCATCGAGCCTCGCTTGAACGTTTACCCACCACTAGCATATACATACCTATCACAACATCTATACGCTCTACAACAGCGAACTTACCACCAACAACTCCCACCAGCTAGCAGCACCACATCATGCCTCCCATGCGCATCCCTGTCAGCCGACTGGCCCAGACAATTCGCACATTTTCCTCTGCTGCCACCCCGAGCAGCGGCCTGAGGGCAGCGGCGAACCCCTTGCACTTCCACCACCAACACATCCTCCCGCACCGGGCGTCGCAGAGGATCCTGTCCAAGGCCTCCACGGCGGCTCAGAACCACTGGTCGACGGTGCCCGAGGCCATCCGCGACGTGACCAGCTACCTCGCGCTCGGGGCACTGACCTCCGAGGCCGCCTTTCTGATATATTGCTGGGTAAGCAATATCTCCTCCTACCGAACAGAACCTCTTCCCTTCCGGCCCGTCCCTTGGATTGAGAGGTGCGACTTTTGAGATGCCTGTGAGCGATGTGAGTTCGTTTTTTTCAGGACTACTCTCTCATTGTTCATCGTCACCGCCGCCGTGGGTTGGATCCATCACCTTCAATCATACGTCACCAGAAGACGTTGAAAGAAAAGATGAAAGAGGAAGTCGATGCTGACATGTTCTCTTCGTGTCGGCAGGACAAAGACGCCGACCTGACGGACTTCCTGGCTTTATAAACAACCGCCACTTACAAGTCACGATACATACTCGGTACATGACGACCGCATTTTTGGGACGAGGGCCGGAAATTGGGCGTTTTGGGTAGGCAGCTTTACGATCGGGTCGGATATCTTGTTCATGAGTTAGTTCCTACTTGCATGCTGCAGTCAGTTTGAGGAGAGTTTTAGCCAGAATGGCTGGTCGGCCGGACGCGAACATGAATTGTTTTGTTTGCGGTCTTGTGAGAAACCTGGTCCGCCCGTTTTGAAGAAAGGGGGCACTGAAAGGCTGAGCCTCGCGAAGTGCCGGCCGTCGATCGAGTCTTGAGTCTTGCAGCCTCGCAGCCTGGCTTCGAGAGGAATAAAGGGGCACGTGTAC